AAATCAAACTTTCAGATCTGAAGAACTGATGACCCTTCTAGTAATCAGTTCCTAAAATATTCTAAGCATCTCACTTGCCCCCACTTTCAGATAGAACTGAAATATATGTAGCTTGGATAATCATGGCATTAATAAAGGCCATGAATTTCTTACCTCTGCAATTTTACTCAAGTTAGCTTCTTATTCAAATCACTTTAGCAAGAGCCCTAATCACCAATAACAACTTCAAATGTATTCAAAATTATTGCAAGTTTGTACTTTACAAAATGTAATGGTCACCCATATCCATCCTTGTTCTTTTACTCTTTTGTCATTAGGTTATGCTTTACCTACACCATACTAAATAAAAAGTTATTTAAATCTACTGCAAGTTTAAAAATAAAATACTTGCAAATAGGAGAGTACAGTTCTTTTTTTGTCTGTTATGGTACTAAATTAAAATTGTTGATCAGTTCCTGAGTTCTAAGTAAATAATGGGGAGGTTTATTAAGAGCAGTTTTAACTTATCATTTAATATTGCTGTAGGCAAGAATACACTGATAAACATAGAACAACCAATTTGTGATGTCATTGGGGAAGAATTTGAACTTGTTGTTTCTCAAAGGGTGGACAGAGCTCTGAATAGGCTGCCAAAGATGTGACAGGAAGGATGGTGAATATCTTGTCCTTGATGTGCCTCCTTCTCAAGTGATTGATCCTGGATCCAGTGATGACAGATAACTATTGCTGACTCTTTAAACTCCTCTTTATGGAAAAGATATTTGGGAAAGATGGTAGGGCAAAGCTTACAAGCTCAGTAGAAGAAGCAGATTATCTTAATTTGTTGCAGCCAGGATTTAGACCTGGGTACTGGAGATAAACTTTATTAGTAAATTTCATTGATAATCTGTAGTGGAAGTGCAACCTTATTACTACATTGGATTGTTCTACAATCTTCAGTAGAATTGAACATAGTACATTTCTGATGATTTGCAAAGGTTGGGGATTAGAGCCACAATTTATGGAGGTTCAGCTACTTCCTAAATCAGTGTGTGTGTGTGTGGGGGGGAAGGTTCAGCCTTTGGGCACTCCAATATATGGCACCTCAGGGCTTAGTCCTCTCTTGTTGAATATCTACAGGAAACCACTGGAAAAGGTAATCTGATACCGTGCTGTCATTATGTTGATGATACTCAATTATACATCTCTACCCAAGACTGAACACATATTTTGACTTGGTGTTCAGAGGATGTATGGATTTGGATGGCGAAGAATAAGTTGAAGCTTAATCCAAACAAGATGCATTGACTGCTGATCCAGAAGTCAACTGATCCTGGGACTATTCCAACTTTAGTTTGATGTGGTTGTGCTTCCCTTAAAGGAGCTGGTTCATAATTTGGGAGTCTTTTTGGATTCACTGCTCCCTGGTTTCACTAAACAGCCCGTATACTAATTATTTTCTTTGTATTTTAGTTGGCATATACTTAATTCTTTGTTATTCCTAGCATTATTATTTTTTTTACAAATCTGTTTTTGGATTCCTGGCACAAGCTCTACAGAACAAGATAATCTGTTTTTACTCTTGCTTTATGATCTGGTTCTTTTTTCATTTCCTGTATGGATTTTAGAAATTTGTTTCCAGTTGTGTGTGTGTGCGTGAGAGCGAGAGCGAACGAGGTGTTAATGTCAATTTGGTCCTGGAAGAGGAAAATATAAGAAATTCAAAATAACACTGCTTTGACCCTGTTTAAGAGGCAAAAGAGAAATTCTTGGCATGCTCTCAAGATTCTGTTTTGATAACCTATAATACAGTTGTATTTCTGCAATCATTGACCAGACCTGCTGCAAAAAACTAACATCATCTTTAGGAATATCCACCCATTTTGTCTGCATTATCATGCCACTGGATCCTATTTATCATTGCTCATAGTTCTGAAGTCCAAAACATGTCTCATTACACTCAATTTCATTAAAATTGTCAACTACGGGATTCCATGATCACTTTCATCCTTCTTGTCTGCTACTTCCACCTCAATTAAGTATTCCTTATTTATTGCTGTGGTATCAAGCTACGCATAGCTGATTCCCTGGTATCTTCTTCCACCTTATGAAGAAAAAAGTTGTTGATGAATCAAAAAGTCTAACAAGTCAAAGACAACTGATTCTCTTCTTCTTCTACTGTATGAAGATAGTTGTTACCAAGTTCCTCAAAAGATCATGCCTCAGAGACATGATGTCAGCCTACTTAGTCTATTATTATGACTTCGTGTGTTCCAATTTGCAAGGTATCATCCACCTCTTCTCCTTGGATGGAAAAACAAGAATAGACACCAACAACAGACTGAGTTTATTTGTTCATACACGCAGGTAATGCTTTACAATACTGGCAAATTCATTCATTTGAATTTCTGAGTGCAAATGAATATTTAAACATACAATATGATTCCTCTTCCTTTTGCTTCTCTTCCTTTTAAACAAATTATATCCTTTAACAAAATGGGATAAAACTGTAAGTACATAAATAAAGCAATTGTCTGTTCTCCAGTCATGGGAGTCATCTGTTACATTTTTCCTCTCTGTATTAAGAGCTATGCTTAAAATTTGATGTCAATATTACTTTGGAATAAACTCAGATGCCTAGCAGGGATTGGAATAAAGGCAATACAAGCAGGGTAGACATCACATATCATGTCAATATTAACTGTGGGCTGGGTGGGTATCATTTAACTCAATGAATCAGTGCTAAAGAAAAACCTTCCATAAAAAAGGTCATTAGATTTTATTAAGTAATACTTTGTAAACTGCCAATAACATAGACAAGACTTAATGGAGTAACTTTTCCTCTGAGAAGTAGGCACATTGTATATTGCAGCTAAAATAGGTCATCTTGAATGCTACATTTCAACAAAACTGTATTAGAAAGCAGCCGCCCCCCTTTATATTAGGATGAATATGCAATCTTTCAGATGTTGGTGGACTACAGCTCCCATCAGTTCTCAGCACTGGACAAACTGGCAAAGAATGATAGAAGTCAACAACATCTGGATCCCTTCCTGCAGATTCCTATTGTGTATTGGCGGATCAAAGATACCTGCCAAGCAAGAATTACAGCTAGAAGTTGTTTTTGTTTCTTTACAATCTCATGTATTTTCAGTGATTTTTCTTTCACTTTGCATTCCTTTTTAGTTATCTAATACTTGTAGATCAGTAATTTCTGGCATAAACTCACCTAGCTGATATTTTAAAAATGCTAGAAGTGTAGTCATACTGACAGCCTCAGTTAAGTTTGTGGAATGAATTTTTTAAGATCAAAAACCCTTTTCAAAACAGGACATGCTGACTTTCCTGTTTTTGTAGGAACTCCCATGTTCCTAGAATAGCATAGCAAGTATGTTTCCTGCTATGCTATAAACATGAATATCAACTAATTAATCTGCAGACTTTGTAAGATCCTCTTACAAATTGCCACTCTTGTCAATCATTTTATATACTTTGTTCTGAACTGCAACCAGCACAAGTCATATATATTTATTTTACTTGATCCTTTGGGGACACTTTTGTCATAGAGAAATACAGTAAACCAATTAAGGCCATACCCTCCTTTAGGAAGAAAAGATCTGAGAAAAACAAACAATATCTATCACATCTTACCATCACCTGAAGTCTTGGGGGTATGTGGAATTTCTTGAAAATGACAATTAGAATAATTTGTTTGAGCTTAATTAAGAGCTGGGAGAAAAGTGTGTGAACAGAGACAATACAAAGATTACATTAATAATAGTATGCTTTATTCTCTTTTCAAGAGATTTATAAAGTAACTCTTAAAATTAGCTGCTGGGTGTTTTAGGATATTGGCACTTTTTGGATGTTGCAGATAATACTAGGTAAGCAAACACCACTGAATGTCTCATCTCACAATTTCCAGCAGATGCATGATGAACAGAAAAATTTACTCCAGATGCATGCAAACTCTATGGTCACTATACCTATATATTAGCTAGGACTAAAATCATCTCATTTATAATGACACAATTCCTTTTATACACATGCAGGCCAATTTATTTATATGTTCTTCTACATTCAATTTGATGTGGTAGTTAAGTCACCAGGTCAGAAACTGGGAGACCATGAGTTCTAGTCCTGACAGAGTTCTAGTCCTTCTCTCTCAGCCCTAGGAAGGAGGCAAGGGTGAACTACTTCTGAAAAACATTGCCAATAAAATTGCAGGCAGTTTGTCCAGGCAGTTGCCATGAGTCAAAAATGCCTGTTAAAACACAAACTTAATGTAGAATAGTATAATGCATTGGAACTAGAGAGCTGCTCAGATTTTGGTACAAGATGGGGGGGCCTAGATAAATATTTTAAATAAATAAATACACTTCTAATGTAAGAGGACTGTGTGAATTTTAAACTATAAGTATAATTTGATTGTATATAATTTTGTTTGGAACAAAATGACAAAGTGTAAAATGTGTCAGAATCTTGTGCTTTTATTTTTAAATACAAGTAAAGCGATAATTTGGATGGGGGACACAGTGATTCCTTTAGAGCAGGCGTCCCCAACCCCTGGTCTGTGGACTGGTATTGGGCTGTGGCATGCCAGCAACCGGTCCACACAAACAAGCAAAGCTCCATCCGTGGGATGAAGGCAGCACACAAAACCACACACTCTCTGATCCATGGAAAACCTTTCTCCATGGAACCGGTCCCTAGTGCCCAAAAGGTTGGAGACTTCTGCTTTAGAGAGTTGTTCATAGGTCTATCATGCTTGACGTACAAAATAATTCTCTTTTCTGAAACTTCTATTTGAAGTGATCAACAACTTTAGATGCATACAACAATAATGCAGTTTTCATACCTCACATAACACTGCACTAGTCAGTTCAGGCAATATGAATGCAATATCTGTCTCTACAACAGTATAGTCTCCATTTGCTTTCATATTATTTTATGTTATATTTTGCAATCTCCAATTCCTATATGGCACACTTTGGACACCACAAAATTCTGGCAGAAAATGGTTAGTAAAATAAGAACAGTAGTTTAATATTGGTTTAAGAAAGACTGATATAACATGGTTTTGATTTATAGGTATCCTGAAAGAAATCCTAAGGAATAAATAGCTTTTATTACCTTGTTATGGCATTTGTAGAATAGCAGAATAACCTCTACTGTTTTACAATTTCTAATTCCTGGGTACTATAAGAGTTTTATAATACACTCAATCAACTGCACAAAATCTAAACAACAACCATTAGTGGTAGTAGTTTTATGAAAAATTATCCTATTACTAAAGATTTCTTATATAAAGAGCAAAATTAACTTCAGTGGGAAAGCAAAAAAGGTGGCTAATCTTTGTACTCTAAAAAATGATTTGTAACAATCAAAGCATAGCTTGAGAAATTAGTCTTACTAATTTCATTTTATTCAGTCTCCTCTAATTTTCATTAAACATTCCTAATCAGAGAAATATTCATCATAGCCTGCCTTATAGCAACTAAAACATGTTACTTTAAGAACAAAATTTTCCTAAATGATTTTTTTCATAAAAATATAACACATATAGCAGATAAATGTAATATGTTTATATTCCCAATGATAATTATAATTACATATATAGAAGCACTGAATGCTTCTAACTGTTGGACTACTTGAAAGTGCTTTCTAGAAACTGTGCAATTCCTCTTCCACTTCTAGGGATGGGTTCATGCCTCATTTTCACTCCTGAGGGAATTACACCTTTAAAAAAAAAATGCACTGCTGTCACTATATAAGCTACATTGCTTTACATAGGATTACACAGAATTTACACAAATTTAACATCATACATACTCCATAAACTCACCCATCACAATTTAAAATAAGTATGCCTTGGAAATAAAAAGAATCTCTATTCCATAGAACTTTAGCAGATAAGGAATGGAATATTTTTTTTCAAAATGGGAAGATAGGAAAGGTACATTGAAATTGAGTTTAGTTCTTGTGATGATATGGACACAGCCATTACATTTTCTTGGGAATGGCTTGCCACTGGCTTCTTCCAGAATGAGCTGTGATTTCCTAACTTAGCTATCTGAATTGTGTTGCCAATAGTTTTCCCAAGTTCTACCCAAGCCTGACCCACTTAATTTCCAAGCCAAGACAAAACTGGCTAAAGATAATATAACCACATTAGGTAACTGAACTTCAAACAGGGTCATATTTAGAATTATTAGAAATTATTGTAACATTTTAATTTGTTCAAGAAGTAACAAGCCTAACTGAGGTGCCAGTAAATACAATTGGTTAACAATACAGGACATTTATTTGTGATTGAGTACAGCCTGTCTTCCTTCCCAATCCTGGGAATGGAGGGGAGAAGTTTGTCAGATTTCTCTGTGGAAAACAGGACATCATCTGAAAATGCAGCTATTATTATGGTAATTCCAAAGAATTAAGCAGAATTACTTTATTTAATATCTTTTGCCAGAACAGTATCATTAGCTAGCTTGCGAAAGTTCAACTGCCTACATTTTCTTCCAAAGAAAAAGAAAAGATTAGAAATGCACAACCTGTACTACCCCAGAGCCATTCGTCTGACCTGTCAAAAATTTACAACCAAACTACATGGTTTAAATAATTATGTTAGTTAAAATAATTATGTTAAATAATTATCAGGAATTATCTATAATATAATGTAATTATTTTTCAAACATTTAACAACAACTAGAATAATTTTATTATTTGTATTAACCCTGCCCAATTTGAGTGTGGCTTTAGTAGATAAAGCTTATTAAGACCTGACATACATAAGGATATACTTCAATGAGGAGATATGTTATTGGATTTCAGTTAGTATTATTTTTTAAGAGTAGTATGTTATCCTCACATCTGAATTTGCAAAATAAATCTCTACTTACCACTACAGGGTGTGGCACCATGATCCTTATTAAGAGATCTGAAATAACTATCATTTCCAGTGTTCTCAACTTTCCCTTTCTGCAATTTAAACACAAGATCACCTATATATGTATGCTATAAAGAGACTGAATTTTGCAAGCTTTCTCTTTCCCACCTCATTCATTTGGTCATTTTATTTTTTGCAAAGAAAGGCAAAGTGGATTTAATACTTAAGTGTGCCAACAACCAAAACCATTAACCTACTTACACATTTATATCTTGAAATTCAAATTTTCCAAAACAACTTACTGTACTATTAGTAGTAAAGCATTTTGAAATAATTATTAAAAACAGAAACATAAATAACATATCTGCAAATACTAAAACTTGGCAAAGAGTCTACAAAAGTTATAAACAATATTCACTTGTCCATAGACCATTTTTCCAAAGATGAAAGGTTCAACCAAACATTTTTTACGGTGAACTTCAGTCAAATGGCAATGTTCTTAATGAGTAATGGCTTCTGCCTTGCTATTTTCCCATGAATACATTTTACTGAGAATGAAGTGATGACATAAAATTTACCCAAGATAAAAAAGCCTGGAGTTCCCTGGATGTTTTTCTGAGGTTTTCTGTGATTTACTGGATACTTTTAAGCAGCACTCAGAAAATTATTTCGCAAGATGACCATTCTTGGGAAAACGTGTTAATCATCTCCATTTCAAAATGGTATATTATCAAATTAGAGAATATCTACAACCAAAAAACCAAGCTCAGAGAACACCAAGAATTCAACAATTTAATCCAGAGTTACATATAATCTAGTAAAACTATTTTTCAGACTAAGGATTGAGAAAGACCCAGATCTTTAGAAATAGTTTTGTAACTTTTCTATATAATATATACCTTTAAAACCCTACATAACATGGGTCCAGGGTAACTAAGGAGCTTGCCCCACTTGTGCCATTGGAAGAGGCCTACTAGAGATCTTGTCTGTTAAGGCAGGGGTCCCCAACCTGTGGGATGTTCGCGTGGCCCATTGCATGTCACCACATTGGAGGTGTTTGTGGCCTCACTCATGCGAGCGCTCACGGTTCCATTCACGTGAGCAACAGGTGTTCGTGCACGCATGTGTTCAGCTCCCCCACAAAACCATCCCTTATTTTCCCCTCCCCCCCCACTCCAGGCTGCCAATTCTGAAAGGTTGGGGAACTCTGTGCTAAGGAACTGAAGGAAGTGGGACGAAGGAGGAGAGTCTTTTGGCCCAAGCAGAACATTCTACCACGAGGGGTGAAAACTGCCCCCTCCCTTTTGGCCTTCCAGAAGGGTATTAAAACCTGGCTTTTCTGGCTGGCCTCTTGGCTCTTGTTTGTTTTAATCTTTTAATTTTTAAACTATTTTTTTATTTCTTTCTGTACGTTATCCTGCCCTGAGTTGCCTTATAGGGGAGATGCGTGGTACAGACATTTAATAAATAAAAATAAATAAATAAATCAATAAATTTTGTGGAAAACTTCGGATACCTCTACAGAGTTGTAAATCATGTGCTTCTGAAATCTCTGGGTTAACAATAGGCAAAGGAAATAAAGAGTTATGAGATTCATAAAGGATATAGCTGTCCCAAATTAGTCCTGATGTTTAATGAAGTGTTCACACAACTGGCCCGAGTTATTGTTTTAAATGAACTGAACCGGGGAGATATTGGATGATTTTATGAAATAAATGAAAGAACTAAACTTTGATATTATTTGTTCATTAAGTCTCCCTTTATATATTAGTAGGACCCATATGAAATGCTGATAAATGCTGAAAACATGAAGGGGAAAAATACTTATCTGAAGACCTTACGGCATCACTTTAAAACATAACCCAACAATCATTCTCATTCTTATTCCCTCCACCCTCTCTCTTTCACACACACACACACACACACACACACACACACACACCCCACACATTCAAAATAAGCAGTATATCAGAAAAAAAAAAGTGAACTGACCTGGAAACGTCCAGCATCCAGCACTATCATCTTAGGGTTTGTTGTATTCTTACAGTTCTTCTCAGTTAGTGGTAAATGAGATGCAGTTAACTGGATTTCATACATGTTTGCTAGAGAATTACTGATGCAGTATCTAAATTGAATAGAAAAACCACATACTAAGACAAACTGTGTAACTGTCATAGCTGAAGAAAAATCTAAATGTAATTAATTCAAGTAATATGACCTGTACCAAGATGGCATCCAACTGGAAGTAAATCTAAGTAATTTTGTCTGACATGGTCTGCAAATTTCTCCACCTAGTCCTGAAGCTGCACCCGTGTTTTTCTATACAAAAGGGTTGAAGTCACCCAAAATAGGGTTGCTAGTCAGCTATCTGAGACACATTAAAGGCAGAAAAATACTGTTGTTTTAACACCATTACCGCCACAAGTTGGGTATTAATAGTAGATGTAAACCACTACTGGTCAAGTTTGTTCTTTGTTGACTGCCAGCAGTGCTCCAAGACATTTAATCTGTTTCACCACCCTCAACTCTTCTGTAAACCATGGAGAATAATGGGATCCATGAAAGAAGAGACGCTGCATAAGTATGATCCAATTCAAAGTGTTGGCTGCACTCCTATTCCAGGTGATAACCAAGCCCTCAGTTGGATCATGCAGCAAACAATCAGGAAATAATCACAGCTGTCTTTGGATCTCATATAGGCCAACCAGTCATCGGGAGCAAGGAACTGAATATGTATTCCTCCCTAGGTAGTGCAAGGAAATCCCAACTCCTAGGCTGTGATCTGAGCCTGACAAAGGAGTCATAGAGAACTCCCCCAATTCCAGATCCCATTCCCATTGTTCTGACAAGAAAATCAGATTAGACATGCAGCTACACCCTGTGTCAGGCCCTGAATGACCTATGGCTCTCATGGTGGCAAACCTCAGATCCTCCCTCCTAGAAAGGACAGACTAAAGTCCCCAAGTATCATAAGTCTAGAAAATTCTACTGCCAACCCAGAAATGAAGTCAAGGAACTCAGGAAAGGAAGTCATTATGCAGCAGACAGGTTGGTAAGTAACACCAGTCCCAACTGATTCCTGGAGCCCAATTTAATTAATGGGTCTCACATCTTGTGACTTGTGGTGCAGTGCCCTGAATGCGCTAAGAAATTCTCAAATAAAAATTGCTACTCCCCCATCCTCACTTGGGTTCCCGGCTGATGCCATATCTGAAACCCAACACAACACATTTCCAAAAGGAAACCCCCCTCCCCCATTTCCAGGCACACCTAGATATCAATAATAATACACGGGTTCAACTGTTGATATTTACAGCCACTGCTACATTATGCATTTTTGTATTTCACTGTGCAGTAAAATCTTACTTTCAGAGACCATTGTGCTTGTACAATTCAAATTTATGTAACTACCTTGATCTGTATCATTCAAGTAGTTCCACAGAGGGTAATACCATTTGCACCAATTTACATCATTTGTGCCATAATATAATTTGCTCAAATAACACAAAGGATTAATTATTAATGAAAATCATACTAATTGTCTGAATTACACATTGGAAAATAATGGACTCTGTCCATTGTTTGAGAGTGAAGTCTGAAAAAAATACTTGATATATCCTGAATAGAGGTCCAGGGAATTAAAGTTATATTTTGTTAACCATTTTCAATTTTGCACTAGCTTTGTCCAATCTAGTACTAATACATCTGATTTCAACTCTAAGAAATCTTGTCTAGAAGATTTGGCTAAATAGGTGGAGATCCTGAGTGTTCTCGATCTCTGAAGGACACATAGTTAAATAAGACTTTTTATAGCAGTAAGAAATACATTTCATAATATATACTCATACACATTACACACACACACACACACACACACACACACACACACATATATACACACATACACATACATACATACATACATACATACATACATACATACATACATACATATATATATATATATATATATATATATATATATATATATATATATATATATATATATTCTGAGGTTTTCGCAGGTGTTTGTATGTAGGTCTTTGGTTGTTCGGGTTTTCTCCCGCGTAAAATTGGAAGTGTCTTGGCGACGTTTCGACGAAGTCCCATTCGTCATCTTCAGGCTGCTCGAAGCACGAAGCTGAAGACACCAGCCTGAAGATGACGAATGGGACTTCGTTGAAACGTCGCCAATACACTTCCAATTTTACGTGGGAGAAAACCCGAACAACCAAGTACCTACATATATATTTATATTCTAAAAATACTTAATATCTATATATATATATATATATATATTATATATTAGATATATATATATATATATGTCTTGGGTTGTTCGGGTTTTCTCCCGCGTAAAATTGGAAGTGTCTTGGCGACGTTTCGACGAAGTCCCATTTGTCATCTTCAGGCTGGTGTTTTCAGCTTCGTACTTCGAGCAGCAATGTGTGGTCTTAGCTGTTTCTTCCTTTTAACTGCCAGTGGGGGTATGAACTGATTGGGTGGGAGCTTGGCTGTGTTCGGATTGGGTGGAGGTGTGTTCTGAATGGTTAGGGGCTTGGCTGTGCTCTGATTGGCTGGGGGAGTGTTCTGTTTGGTTGTGCTCAGGTTAGTCTGAGTTGCAGAGGGGTTTAATATTTTGGGGTTAGGGAGTCGTTTGTCAATAAGGGCAGGTTTCCAAATGGCTGGTAGGCGGGAGGTATCATCTCGCTTGTTCATGCTGTGTGGCGTTTTTCTATCTCGATGGCTTCTCTGATTATTCTGTTATTAAAATGTTCACTTTTGGCAATGGTTCTGGTATTTTTAAAGTCAATTTCGTGTCCTGTGGCGTTAAGGTGTTGGACCAGGGAAGATGTTGGTTCCTCTTTTTTGACTGAGTTCTTATGTTCTTCAATGCGTGCACTTATTCTTCTGTTGGTTTGTCAGATGTATGTGGTGGGACAATTGGTGCATGGGATTTCGTATACTCCTTGATTTTCTAATTCAATTTTATCTTTGGGGTTTCTAAGGATGGTGGATATTTTTCTGTTTGTGCAGAATGCTGTTTTGATGTTGTGTTTATGAAGGATCTTACTGATTCTGTCTGTGGTGCCTTTTATGTATGGGAGGAGGGCTTTGCCGTTTTCTTGTTTTTTGTCTTGGATTTTGGTGGGGGTTTCTTTTTTGATTAGGTTTGTAATCTTATTTCTATGGAATCCATTGGATGTTAGTACATTGGTGAGAGTGTGTAGTTCGGGTTTTAGGTGTTGTTCGTCAGCTAAGCGTTTTGTTCTGGAGATGAGTGACTTGGCTACAGAGTTGATCTGTGCTGGGTGGTGGTGTGAGAGAGCGTGCAGATAGCGGTTTGTGTGTGTTTTCTTCTGGTAGATGGTGTGTCCTAGGGAGCCATTGGATTTCTTGTAGACTAAGACATCCAGGAAGGAAGTTGGTTGTTAGCTTCTGTTTCCATGGTGAACT